GTGTGTGTGTGTGTGTTGTCATTGCAGGTTCTGCTGCCAGCAGCCAGTCTCCTCCAGCTGATGGATGTTCGTCAGGTTTGTTGTGAGTTCCTGCAGTCTCAGCTTCATCCCACCAACTGTCTGGGCATCAGAGCCTTCGCTGACCTGCACACATGCACACAGCTTCTCAACCAAGCCCACGCATACGCCGGTAAGCCTAAGTGTTCACACCACAGATCGTGAGTCATCTTTGCCACTGTGCGTGTGGTGGGTTGGTGATGGTACTTTTGTGTAACGGTTAGTTTCACCAGCCCTGAAAAATGTCTTTGGAAGTCTCTTTGATAATGCTACATATCCAGATGTCCAGATGTTCTAAATGACGCTGAAAAGGACGTCGGAGACATCTTTTCAGCAAGAACATGCTAACGTTTGAGCTTTGACTGATGTTGGGAATTGTGTTTGTGTGCCACAGAGCTAAAATACTGAGTCTGTGTTGTTTGTGTCTCTCAGAGCAGCACTTCACTGAGGTGGTGCAGGGAGAAGAGTTCCTGGGCCTTTCTCTGCAGCAGGTGTGCAGCCTCATCTCCAGTGACAAGCTCACTGTTACCACGGAGGAAAAGGTGCACACACACACACACAGACACACACTTTAATAAAAGCAGTTTGTCTCTTTCCTTGTGGGTGAAAAGAAGATTTTGCTCATATGGGAGTTTTCAAGAGATATTGGCCACTGGAAAAGATAAAGACATTCAAGTTAGGGTGGGAGCTGAGAAATATCTGTGGCTGTATTAAAAACACACGTCCTCATCCTACTCACTGCGTCTGATAAGCTCGCCTCAGCAGACAGACGCTCCATCCTCTGGAATATGTCTGCTGCTGTCAACAGGAAGAGTCTGAGGGAGCATCTGTGTGTCATCCTGCTGTCAGCAGTCAAGGTGACTGTTGGTTCAGACAGACAGACACAGAGGGGGCTGTCATACTGTGTATTCATATCGTTTTTAAATGCATCTGGAAAAACAATCACTTTGATACATAGAAAAGAACCCTACATTACTTATTGTCCTACATACATATGCTGGTTCTTTAAGTGAGACCACATACAAACACTGTATAGCTCCTTATTAAATTAGCTAAATGAATTGTATTAATGTTGATGAATTGTATTTAGATGTAACTGTCAGTGATTTTGCCACTGGTTTGTAGACAGTTTCTACAGTATTGTGTGAAATCAGCATGAGGCTGGAAATGGCAGAAGTAGTATGTGTATTTTGTGTAACACACACAGAGGCTGAAGACTGCATTGTTTTTGACAATTTGTATTGCTGTGTCATAATGCTGCTACATGAAACATGTTTTTGGCTGTTTCAATCTGAAAGTGGACGTAGTTTTTACTGTGTAAGCTACTGTAAAGGGTTTTGATTTCAAACCCTGAAGGAAAAGAGAGTCTGGGGAGTTGTCGAGTAATGGTCCTCTTTCATTCAACTACCGTCGTTGTTGTCCCTTTGTGCACAACAGGAGGGGCACTCAGTCCCTCGTTTGCCCGAGTGGAGCTGCTCCACAGGCCAACAGGAGATGACCAAGTGTGAATGTGTGCAAATCAATGAATTTGAAGTAGATTCTAGATGTAGAACAAAGGTCTGCCACCTCTGTTATACTGACATCCTCCTGGGAGCAATCAATATCAGCATTTCACTATGAAAGAACACAGTATCTACTGCTTAAACAATGAAATTCAGACAATCAATGAATTTAATTGTCAGAATTGGGTGGGGTGTGGCACATCATTGAACAGTGTCTGAAACTCTTTCCCTCTAATCATTTCAGATATCAGAATAGGGGTGTGGGGATAAGAAAAGTGTAAAACATCTAGAGCTGCACGATGTGGTAAAAATCATACTGAGATTGTTTCTACAGAGATTGCGATTCACAGTTATGTGGGAATGATCAGTTTTGCATCACAAATTAAATTTTCACTAAATAAAACCATTAAAATCATGATGATGTGAAACAAACATGTTTTCTTAAATCTGGAGAACAAGATTTGTAGCCCCAGGGTCTCTCTGCAGAACTACTGTACTTCATCATAATACTCACAGATTACACCTTTATCAAAATATTACAGCTCCTGCACTTTGCCATATTGCGATTTCGATAATATTTCTA